AAGTCACGGTGATGATGATGATTGTCATGATCTCAACAAGGTGAATCTTAGGTACGAATACTTAGGGATGTAAGTTGTTCGCGGCGACCGCGAAATTTATTGAGTTTGGCTACGGGCTCGGAGACACGGTCGGATCAAGACTCGCCACGAGGGTCGGGCCTTCGAAGCTTACATGTGTTCGGGAGCAGGTGTCGCCGCGAATTCGGTGCAAATTCTGCGATTTTCCGTGATTTCGAGTGGACTTCGAGGGAGAATCCGCGAATTTCGAAGTTTCCTACCGCAAGACGCCGCGATTTCAGCAATATTTTGACGCGAAAAATCCACAGCCCTACTAATAATCGATCGATGTAACGCTTGATTAAGGGAAACGACGAGAGAGAATTACACAAAGCTCGTAAGTTATTCGTTTTAGGGAGATTTCTGTTCCGAAATCTGACTGCAACGGAGAATCTTGGGAGGGGCTTTAGCCCTCTTAGCCCCCCCTCCGCACGCTACTGACTACAGCTGCTAATACGAAAATCCAACGCCACCAGCCCTCTGAGCTTCGTCGTGAGATTCTCTGTCGATTTCATCTCCCCAACCTTGATTATTTCACGATCCCAAACTGCGCATCCATATCTCTTCTCGTTGTCCCTTCGTTCTGGACGCCGACCACAGCGGAAGAAGCGCCCTCGAGAATCTGATATCGCAGGCTGGGTCAATAGAATTGAATATGTGTAGCTGCAACTCGCTTCAGATTGCATTTCGCAGATTCGCTCGAAATGTTTCGGGAGAGTGTGGTCCTGCGAACGATGAAAGTTCTGAGCCATCATCTTCTACGGTCTCTCGTGCTCATTTCAATTATTGTTACGATAGGGAGCTCGCCGGTCCCTCTTCGGGGAGACCGGAAGAAGGACATCAAGAGGAAAATCATCAATTGGAACAGCTCATACTACACCTCCCGATTTGAGGCCTGTAAGACGCTGAGAGACTTGGATCCGGTCGAAAAGTTCAGAGCGCAAGGTTTTGCGGCCACCGTCTTCCGTAAATGCGGACCGCAGAATATAGTCCGATTCGCGACAAAATACAGAGTTCCTGCCTACGGTGAGGGAGACACTTTAAGCAATATTCTTGAACCTCGGGTATTTCTGGGACTTTGCGTCCCGGACTCCACCATTCAATCTCGTGGCGATCTAAATCTCTTGAATCCTTACTCTCCCAGGCATATATGACTTGGTTAAGGCTGGCTGCTGGGCTGTGACCTACGTGTTTGCCTTCATCGCTTCAGATGGCGGCGTCATTCTCCCCGAATCGATCCCTATCGAGGTCGTCGTCGCTCACCTCGAGAGGCTTGTTCTAGCGATGAGGCGTATCAATCATACACTTCCCTTGAGAAGTCGAGGGAAAGTCTACCTGGTACCCGTAGATCTTGTGGATGAATGGACTCAAGCGATATTACCATGCATCTTCGAGATGGACAGTGTGCGAGAGCGAGACGGGGATTTCCTGAAGCATTTGGGCAATCATGCGAGAAACATTCTCCTTTGAGGATCAAGAGCGTAAATGAGCTTCATCCAAAGTACTATATAGTCGAACAATGATCTCGTATACATGCTCCTCGTGTCGATCACTGTACCTACCTCTCCGCGACAAAAAAAACATTCGAGTACACAGCTGTTCCGAGGGCACCTCCCCAATGACCTCGAGGCTCATACAAGATGATACCAAGAACTCCGCCTCCTTCATCTTCTTCGAGATCTTGCCCATGCGTTCATGCAGGAGAAGAGCAGAGGTGATCATTCGGTACTGTCGTTTTAAAAAATCCAGGGTCTATGTCACTCCTAGGCTGATAAAGATATCTGTACTTACCCAGTATGCGTATCGAAGGCTCCCCATCGACTCTCTCTGAATGCCGGATCAACGCAGAGCGTCTTTAAGAGGAGCTCTGTGCCGATTGGATAATAATTTATTCTCGACGATATGTACATCTTCAGGCATGACCGAGTCTGATGGCTCAGTGTCGTAGAACAGGAACTTCGAGTCGCCACGAAATACCTTGTCACAGGTCTTCAGAAAGCGTGGTATTCAATGGAGTCCTGCCTACTGTCTGCGTCTGACACTGAGGGCTTGCCATGCTTCGAAGGTCCGCTAAGGTCTAACGTCGTACATCCCGTATATCACCACAAGTTGAACGGTGGAAGCGGGAGCATCACGAAGTCAAGAAAGTTCCGAATATGGCTGTCTAGGAAGTCGTTTCGACGCATGGGAAACCCCTATACATATTCGAGAGCTACCTCTACGAGATTGAGAAGAAGAAGGACAATGGAACCCTCTACTGCCGGTGCGTGCGAAAAAGAGAAGACGCCTGTCCGGCCAGGATGATTGTGCTGAAGACTCCTGATCTGGTCGTGAAGAGACAAAGCGGAACTCATCGCCATGAACCGGACACCAAGGATCCAATTCGTCGCGCAGTCAGTTCGAAGATGAAATCAGCGGTGAAGAGGGATGCTGTCCGAGGTGCCAAAGAAGTGTACGCCGGAGCTCTGATTACATGCGTGGGCGAGTCGCGACACAGTCACTCTGACGTAGAGATTGGAGTGTCGCTCCCGACATACGATTTGATTACCCCGCCCATGGGAAGCTTTAGTTATTCAAGCAATACTTCATTGGAACGTGGCTAGAGAACGGCTCGGTGCTTCCTCGCGAACCATGGAATCACTACAGAAATTTCGGAGCACGAACAACCAACCATATCGAAGGTTGGCATCAGGGTCTTAAGCGAGTGGTTCGGAAGAGCCACGTGATTATTATCTTCGAAATGGTCGAGCATATCCAGAAACAGGAGGCGACGTATTCAGCCAAAATGCTGATGCTCGAGATGGGCCAAGCTCCGGGGAGACTGAAGAAAGAATATCAAGTTCTGAACGATAAACTCATCATGGATGAATTAGAATCGGATCAGATCTCCCTGTACACCGCGTGGGCTCTAATCTTTATTCGCTAGCCTGAGACTGAGAGCCGTTGAGGTCCTTGAATTAATTAACTTAACGATACTAATACATAATCCTCGAAGAGAGAGATCCACCGGTAGAAAAAATAAAAAACGTGGAGCGAGGAAGGTCAGAGACACCATGGATCCACGATTGAAAGTTATCGGTAGCTCATAGAAGTCTCCGAGATGAGTGATGGGTGGCTAGAAAGGGCGCTCCGCGACCCCGCTCAGATCAGCAGAGTCCTCAAGCGCAAGTTCGAGGCGGAGAAGAAGACCCTGTAGATGGGGCGAGGAAGGAAAAGCACCCTCCCGCGGACCGAGGAAGAGACGGCCCGCGAGCGACGGATTCCCTGTGGGTGCGGGGGTTGCAGGTCGAGCACACAAACGGATGAGGATCGCTAGGTAAGCCGCAATCGCATGACGGAAGGAGGTTGTCTCTCACGGGACCACCGTTATAACTCGAGGGCATAGTTTCCTGATCGAGAACAGCTCCGAAAAGATCGGGAAAGAGGTCACTGACTGCACTCTGGTCCCGATGGACTAACGGGGGGGAGAGAAGGGAGATTTGGTAAACCAGAATTTCCACCGAACTGTCGTCATAGGCTTAGGAAGGCATGTACCCGTCTTCGGCTCTTTTCCGAATCGACGCTTGAACCCCGAAACCCGCGCGAATTCTATCGGTACGCGAACGCTCGCTTGCGTTCCCGTGAACCGATCCCAGTGCTTTTGACAGCCACACGACTGTGTATTACTCCCGAGGATAAAGCCTCAGCTCTTGGCCTTCAATTTTCGAAAGCTCTCAATGCCGACTCAAATCCATCGATTCCCGATCCCCCATCTCTGCCGGGTGGAGCTTCGGACGATTCCCGCCTCAACATAAGCGAGCTCGCTGTTTACAATCTTCTACTGGACCTGAGATACAAATGCGATCAGACACCCGAGAAGATTCCCTCAATTTTCTTCAAGAAACTCGCCATATTTCTCGCTGAGCCCTTAAGCTTGATTTTCGAGCGATCATACAATGAATCCATTGTCCCTGAATTCTTTCGTACCTGCATTGTTACCCCTATCTTCAAGAAAGGTGACAAATCGGCTCCTTAAAATTACAGACCGATCGCTCAGGGATCCGTTCCCTGTAAAATCTTCGAGAAACTTGTCGCGGGTCACCTGAAGGATTTTCTCGTCAGAAATCGTCTCCTCGATCCACGACAACACGGTTTCACCGCAAAAAAGTCGACTTCTACGCAGCTCCTCAGTATGTCACAAAATTGGGCTTCCCACATCAATTACGGAACCCCTATTTATTGCATCTACTTCGATCAAAAGTGCTTTCGATCTCCTCAACCACCCCTTGCTGATCCAAAAGTTACGCTCTTTGGGTGTCCACCCTCTCACCGTCGATTGGATCCAGTCCTATCTCAGGGGCCGTTCCTTCCGTGTCAGGGTCGATGATGTAGTCGGTGATCGTTTCGATACCACCTGCGGCTGTCCACAGGGAAGCGCCCTCTCCCCACTTCTATACGCCATCTATGTTTTGGATTTGCCGAAATATCTACCTCCCAACATCGATTATCTACTGTTCGCCGATGACCTTAAAATATGGACTCCGATCGCTGGAGACGCCTCTTGCGTCAACCTACAGTCAGCCATTGATGCCGTCACCTTGTGGTGTCGGGAAAATGGTATGCTGCTCTCACTCCAGAAAACGGTTGTGCTCCAATCTGGCCATCCTTGGACTTATGCACTCAACGGCGAGGCCCTTACCTGCACCGCTTCAACCAGGGATCTGGGTGTTATCGTTCGTCCAAACCTGGACTTCAAAGAGCACATCGGGAGTCTTGCCAAATCAGCTCAAATACTAGTTAACACTATTTTCCGCTGCCTCATCTCCAGGAAACCCGACCTCTACTTACGCTTGTTTCGTTCCCTTGTAATTCCCAAATTCTTGTACTGCTCACCCTTATGGAACCCGTCCCAGGTCCATCTCAGGGCACTCATAAACGGAGTACAGAACCGTTTCTTGTACCGCCTACGTCGCCGATGTCGAAACACTGGGCCGGTAATTACCGGCCCAGTAGTCGACGTCCCGAGCCTGCTGGACGTTTCGCGAACCATCGATAAATTTCCACAGGCTCGGGTGGTCTACTCCGAACTCGCCTTGCAGCCGCCGATGGGCGGCTTCAGCAAAATTGTTCGTTCGGCCATCCCCATCCAGAGTGCGTTGATATACGGACCACATAGCGATCGGAAAACGCGGATCGGCGCGAGATACTTCTCTACCGGGTGCCAATCTTAGGCGACCAACATAGTTGTCTTCGAAGTAATTGAGGACTGGCATGAGTTCTTCGGGTAACTCCGGTGCCAGTTCACTGATGGCAACGTCAACGTGCTCCGGGGGAAAGAATGCCACGGCTGGTATCATACGGGCGTATAGAGCGAACTCCGCGTCTTGGTTATAGCGTTTCACGAGGCCGAGATCCATCAACTTCCCCTTCATGTTCTTAACCAAGTGGAACAAACAACCGTTCATCTCGGCATCGGGGAAGGTGGTTCTGAAGGCGTTGATCAAGCCGAGTTCGAAGTCCAAAGAGACTGTGGTCGGCTTGAAGTGGGGCCAAGCGGTACAAAGGAGTTGAATCATGCGCGTGTATGAAGCCTGGCTCTTATTCGGCAGGAGCGCGTAGCAGACGGGGAAGACGAAGCCCGACCGCTCTGCGAGAACAACGAATACTTGCTGGAAGAGCTTAGGCGACAAGCTGAATGTCCCGTCGACGTATATTTTTTCTACCAGACCGATCCACTCAGCTACGGACTGACGCCGAAAATTAGGATGCGATCTTCATCGCGTACCCGGAATCCCCAATCAGGAACGACTCTGAGTGCCCTGGTGCCGACTCGTACACTGCGTATTCGTCGGGGATCAATATCCTACCGCGGTCCGTCGGTAAAGCAGGCGCACTGGCGCAGGCTTTCCACACACGATTCACCACCTTGGCCAGAGTACGGCGCGACGGGAACTCCATCTGCACGGCTGCAGACGCCCCACTCTGAACATGGTTGATGAGTTGGGCTGGAGTCTCTTGAGTCTCCTCGGCCCGACGTTTCATTTCGGTGCGTCTGTGAGCAACCTCCACGGCAGCCGCATCTGAGGGATCACTGTGTGATCCGGAGATCTCGATAACTTCACCGGTAACTACTTCTCTGCGTAAACGGACCTTGCACTCCCGTCTGAATTGACAGCGCCAGAATTGTGTGCTCTGATCGGCACTGACCCTATCGAAAACATACATAAAACCCTGGTGGCAAAGCTTGTCTTTCCCGCGGGAAGACTTTGTCGGGCACTCAAACATGCTGCTTCTAAGAGATTAGAAAACGGGTTGGAGGATTCCTAGCTCAGGACTTTGGTTCAAATGTTTGGATGTTGCTGAACTTTGCGTGTTTTTGTTGATGCCGTCAATTGTCGCATGCACGCTTCCCAAAGGAAGCTGGGAGCGTTCCACTTGTTGAGAACCTCAGCTACCGAGACCAGGATTGAGGTTGCTGAAGATCGCAACGCTTGGATACTCGACTCGGGTCTTCTCTGGTCCGCCATGTATAGAGACGAGCTGAATACCCGTACATTCAGGGAGATACATCCGTATTCTGCATCCCGACCACGAAGCCGACTTTCTCGTCCTGAAGCCTTCCCTCATAGATCTTTCGCACAAAACTCCTGAGAGCCGTCCCTTCCTGTCGCTCATTTTCTCAAGTCGTCCCACGGCTGCCAAACGGTCCTGCGGCCAAACGGTACCGCGACCAAACGGTCGCGGCCAAACGGTCGCGGGCAACTGGGGTGTACCGATCGCAAGCGATCCCGTCAATCTGATGGATCGGTTCATTCGGTTAGTAATCGCACCGGTACAAATGGAACTCCTTCATTTTGACACTTCCAGAGAAAGTCGATACTCACTTGACCAATATTGTTACGGACAATGACTCGTTGGCTGGAGCTAGGCACCGAAGAGTGACCGCCATTTAGCGACGTTGGCATTGGAGCCCGGAGAATCTGTCGTGTCAAGACCTCGGCCCAAAAGAGAGTTCCTGGAATATGTTTCCCCTTATGAAAACACTATAATTGAGAGATATTCGCCCGACCACTCTCGGATCCAGTTGCCATAACCAGGGCGACGCATTATCTGTTCACTAAATCGCTCCGCTGTATTCTTCTCCCAAGAGACGATTTTCAGGACTGGGCGTCTTGGCAGGAATCCAGAACCAGCTGTGACGAAGAATTTCTCTCCTACAGAATGACTGACGCTATCTTCACGCTTGGTCCCGGGGAGTTCGCCTCCATTGAGGACAGAGCACAAATACAAACATTGTGCCACAGGGAAAGAGATCTGCCAATATTGAGCGATTTCCTAAGAAGATATGCAAGACGATATGCGATGGATTCGCTATGAACATTCGTCACTCAGGAAAGAATGCCGCAAGCTAGCTTGTAGATACGTCCTAACCCAAATGCTGAAAGAGTCGAGCAGGGAATTCCGCTGATGAATCTGTGACGAATTCATCATACCTAGTACCTCGCTATTCTGAGCCTGCATCCGAGTCGTCATAAGGAGATTTGCTTTCGCTGTCAACATCCGATATTCGAGCCAAACCGATGGCCAGCCAACTCCAACGCCACCAATGGAGGTTCTTTATGAAAGGCCGAGAATTCACGAGAAGGAACACAGCTAAGACAATGTTTATGTTCGAGTTTGGAGAATGCTGCGAGCCCTCCGGGGCGAAGAATTCTCTTTTGATCTTCTTAACAAACTCTGGGGAGAAATCATATTCGGAAGATAGATTGAAGCTCAGAGTTTCTTCCACGGAACTACAGAACATGTACCCCGATCGACATGAAGCTCATTATTCGTCCAGGAAGAATTTTCGCGCGAGGAGCTCCCGGAGGGAGTTCGGTTTCTGAGAACAACACTTGGGGTACTGGCGGCGTCCACAGTTTCTATGCGCTCGGGATGGATCCATTTCTGCGGGTATTCGACATACATATGTACGTGCGATCTATTTTTCGTCTGATCGAGTAGCTCACAGTTCCATTCTCGAGCGATAGTTGGGTTTAAGGAAATCAGTAGATGTCGAGAATCTCGTCGTTCTACATACATCAAAGGCGGCTTGATACGACAAAGCCTGACGAATATCAGCTGACATACAAAACCCAGATATGATGCAGAGCTCAAGGCCATCGAGGAGAGGTGCATCTTCGATCGGGGAGGCACTACCTCTCTAAGGATGGTAACATCTCAGAACCGGGCAAAGCAGACCACTCGGATCGAACTTCAACTAATCCTTCAAAAACTGAGAGGTCGAGTCATCTTTCATCATTCGTCCTTAAATTCCCGAGCCCCCCATTGCCGGCCTTCAAGATTTCTTCAAGAAGGTGTCAGTCAGAAGTATCTGATAATCTCGCCATCGAAACAAAATTGAAGCCTGTTTGAATCGACGAAAAATGCAGCGAATGCTCAGACAGTTGACGTGAGAGACTCTGTCGATGTCATCATTCCTCCCTTAGGCGGCCGATGTTCTCGGACAAAAGAAGAGTGGGTATTTCGTCTCTCCCGCTTCTTCTGGGCATGCATCTCAGCGGGAGGAGCACTTTCGAAACTACCGATATCGCAGACTTGGTCACCAAAATCGAATTTATGAAGCTGCTGTTAGGGTCATATTGCATTTCGCAGATTCCTTCAAAATCTCTCCAGAAGGTGTGGTCTGGGCAACAATGAGAAGTCTGAGCTTGGAACTCCTATGCTGTCTCGTGCTCATTCCAATCATCGTCACGATAGGGAGTCCACGAGTATCCCGTCTTGGAGCGACGAGAAAGAACATCGAGAAGAAGATCGTCAACCTTGGTGTATGCCTTCCTCGCTTCAGACGGTGGTGTCATCATTCCCGAATCATTTCCGATGGAGGCCGGCTTCGCGATTTTCGATACAACTCTCCGAGCGCTGAATCGTATGAATCATACGGTGCCCATGAGAAATCGGTACTACCCCAGAAGCCCGAATCTCATGAGCCAGGATCGTAGGAGCCAGAATCGCAACAGCCACAATTGTCACACGCCGGAATTGTCATGAGTCATAAATCATGAGCTACAATCCCCATAACCCGGGATGGACCGTCGCCCGATCGCCGCCATCCCATGCGCAACGAAGCTCCCATAGCTCAGGTAGGGATCATTGCAAGTGAGGCTGCGGTTTTGGAATTGGGATGACAAACTCGCGCGCGAAGTTTCGCACCAGTGATGTTTAGGGGTCTTGATAGAGGAGCCGGAACAACGCACAGACATAGGTCGCTGTAGGTTGCAGCTAATAAGCAAGGCTGTCTTTTTCCATGAGCGGTGATGTTGTGTGGATACTATGCGCATGAGCTCGGTGGTGTTCCTCAAGAGAGGGAGAGCAGAGTCGAAAAGTCGATCTAGTTTCGAAGTTTGGTAGTCTCTACGATCAGGCTGATCACGAAAGCGATTGCGGTCCACACTCCCGACGTCTCTTTTGGACGACAAGGTTTCTCGGAGGAGATTCGCCAATTTTTGAGTCGAGCTCAAGGATTGTGACTTTTAGCTCAGCAGCACTGGATAGTCCGCAGTCATTAGGGGGTTTCGGGACAGAAATGCAGTGATTTCATTTAGCCCATGCGAAACTCTAGGCTCGTAGGGGAATCAGGCATGTCATTCCAAAATTAGGGATTCGCGGTCTAGATTCTCAGCCTTACTCGCGAAACCCGGACGTTTCGCCTCTCATTCGAGTCATCAGCGACATATATGCTCATTGCATGACTGGCTGGCAAGAATCCAGGCTCTCTTGCGTCGCGAAATGCATAAGGTCAGGATGAAATTGTGGGACGGTATCTCATGCGGCGCGGCGGTTTCGGCGACAGTCAGTCCCCGCCAACTTCGAGGCGAAAATGAGCCGCCCGAGCACGAATCCGGCAGTGCTGCCAGTACAAGCACGTCCAGAAGTCCAGAGGGATCCGCGGCTCAAGGAGAGCTTCTCGTCGATAGAATCGTCGGTCCCCTCTGTAATCGCGAAATTTTCCCGGGCCGCTTTTATCCAGAGACCGAGTTCACGGTCCCCACGACCTTACTCTCTATCTATCTCTCGAAATTCTTCCCTCGATCGATTCGTTCAGCTCAACGAGATACGTCCCACGGCTCGAGCTCATCAGGATATTCGCTTCCGCTCTCGAAATTCTTGAACAAGTTCAAAATCTGCAAAGGAAATCTTTTTTTCATGAACTATTCGGAACTGATTCGGGTGTACCCAGGAATCATTCCCAGAGATCTTCAGAGCCTCCAGGGCTCACCACCGAGACTGAATGGCACATAGCTCCGTAGATTCCCTTGCCATTGGTGCATCCAACCTCTTGACCCGTTTCGAACGACACAAGCTATCGTGTCGCGAAGTGTCCCGAATTCCATTGCCTGGAGGAAGGAGTTCATTGATTCCCCTCGCTGAGCGAGACTTAAGGCGTTTTAGGCGTGAAAATCTCATACGTGCTGTCATCGTGCCGATCTTTGCAACATAATCGAATTCAATTGCCCAGCTTTTACAATGGGCTCAGGGGCCTCAACGCTCAATCGTAATGGAACATTTGAGGAAATCGCCGGATAAACTGCCTGGAGATCATGGTACATGGTTTTGACGATGAGTTTTGATAAGTATTCGGACACTTGACAAGTTTTCACTGAGGTGCCTCAGAACCGAAAGGGAGGTCTGGTGGAGCCAAGGTTAGTTTCGTCGGGAATCGGAACTATGTACAACATACCTCAATAACTTCGTGGGCAGGGCTTCGATTAGTCCGAATACGTCCTGTTGCGTCCGGCTTGAACGGTTTCCGGTCGAACCACGAAATGCTCGGTTAAGGCCTGAATTTTTTCGCATGGAATCGAGGGCGAGCAGTCGGAGAATAGCATGCCGGACGACCTCATGAACTCTTAGGTAGAAGACCGTTCATTCGAAGAATCACGGTCTCAGAATTGCGGCTCGAATCGCTCTTTCAGTGGTCGCGAGACGGAAGCATTCCCGGTGCCAGGAGTCGCACGGAGCGATCCGTGATAAACTTGAGC